CGGGCGGGCGCGGCTGGGTCCCGCGTGGGGCAGGCGGGCTCGCTTCGGCCCGGCTCTGCTCGCCCGCCCGCGCCGCGCCGCGCCGCGCCGCGCCGCGCCGTGCCGTGCCCAGGCGCGAGGGCCCCGAGGGCATCCCCGGCGGAGAGGGGCCCTTCCTCCTGCGCCCCGGGCGCGGGCCTCCGTGCGCACGGGCAGCGCCGCCGCCTCGGGCCGAAGGTCTGCAGGCGCAGCCCCTGCTCCCCGCGCCGGCAGCCGGGAGCGGCAGGGGGCGCTCTCCTGGGCCCCCGAGCCGGGCTGCACGTCCGCCGCGCCCGCTCCTGCCCAGGGGCCCCGAGGGGGAGGAGGTCGCTCCCCACGGGCGGGTCTGTGCGCAGAGCAAGCGCCTGCGCCGCGCCTCGCCTCGCCCCAGAAAGGGAGCAAGCGGCGGGCAGGTCCCCCTCGCCAGCCGCCGTCCCTCCGCCCGGCTTGCATTTCCTGGGCAGGGTCGGCAAGGAAATTAAGCAGAGGAGCGAGCTGCCGAGGGGTGCCACGGACTGGATGACCTGGGTAGACAGGAGGCCAGCGGCTATGCTAGTTGGGGATGATAGGAGGGGTAGTCCCACGCGTCTGGGCAGTGCCAGGTCGAGGAAGCCTGCTTTGAATCAGTGCCGGGTAGGGCACAGCCCTGGGCTGGGGCCTCAGAGAGCCGGGCTCTAGGCCCCACTCAGCTTTGGAGCTGACGGGGGGGGGGGGGGGGGTTGTGCTAACCTTGGGCCCCCCGGGGTTGTTGGGGGGAAAAAATGGAGGGGGGGAGAATCTTGTTAGCCCCCCCCCCCCGGCTCCCTTGCATGAAGAAGCAGCAGCAGGAATATTGCATATTAATATGCAGTACTAACCCAAGCCATATGCTTTTCAGTTAAGCAGCCCGGGGGCCTCCCGAGAAAGGGCGCCAGTTGTCCCCATAATCATGCCAAGACTGAGCTGCCGTGTCAATGGAACAACCCTTGAACCACCAAGGCAGAGAACTATTATGTCATAGTTTTTGGAGGAAGCTCTTTACCTTCCATAGCTGGCATCAAAGGGCTGTTCTAATTAGCAATGCTTTTAGAAGAAAGGGAGGTTAGCTGCTACACACTAAAATCCAGTTGGAGGATTATTCAGTGATTTCTGTAAGATGCTGTGGTTTGTTTTATGAGGAGTTTCTTGTAACATTTTAGCATGAAAAGAAAAGCCCTTGGTCTGTGCACCCAGATTGTCCTGCAAGGTGCAAAACAGATTCTTCTAATTTCTGGATGGTTATATAGGACTTTTGAGGAGCAAGACGTGTGTGAGTCAGTGCAAGTGTACATGGGTGCACGAGAGAGAGGGAAGGAGAGAAGGAGAGATCACGTCTTTAATAACATATCGGGTTAAGACGATTGCTTCACATAAGTCACCCCATCCACAGAACGCTATTTTAAGAGCCAGCCGTATTTCTGGACACATGTGATCTGTGTTTGGCCCGAGCCGCTGAAGCAGCAGCCAAGTGGGAGGCCAGACATCCAGGCTGTGGGGCGTGCGGGTGGCATTCGCACCTTTGGCCGCCGCCGCCGCCATTCAGAGCAACAGCTGCAAGCTGCCCCGAGGAGGGGAGATCCCTGAGGGACCCCGAAGTTTATGAGCGAAAATAACTGGCCGCTGCACTGGCATTTGGGAGAGACAGCAGGGGAGGCGTCTTCCTTCTAGTGCAAGCCTGGCATCTGCTCAGGGCCAGGCGCTCTTCTTCCAGTTAAAGATGAAATCCGATTTGACACGTTAGTGAGCCCTTTTTATCTCAGCCGTCAGTGATTATTAATTACCGTGGCCACAAAAAGCTGCTGAGGTCACCGGCTGGAACTCTGTGGCCGCGACTGATGATGGCCAGTGACTGCTTGTAGCCCACTGCCTTTCCAGCGACAGAGACGGTCCCCAGGGGGGCGGGGAGCAGTGACCCCCCCCCCGGCATTTCCCTGAGCTGCCCGCTGGGTAAAACAGGCTGGGGACTGTAGGAACCGTGCTGTTTGGGGCAAGGGGCAAAGCGGAGGGGACCACTATGGTGGAACCATGTGCCGAAAGACGAGTCCAGTGACGTTCTTGCAATATTATGTGGGTGAAGGGGGGCATTTGCCCCCCCCCGCAATACATCCTGGGCTGGCCCAGGGGTGGGGGTCCAGGGCTCGCTCCCCAGGTTTGCGCCCGGAGACCGACAGGCTCCAGCAGATGGGCCCGGCAGCTCCCAGAGTGCAGGCTGCTTGCCTTTGCAGTATGGAAACTTTTCAGAACCTGAGGTCTGCGGCCAGGTGTGTGCCAGTGCCAGAGATACGCCAATCAGGCTTGCTTAAGCCCATGCCAGAGGGTGAGCTTTGGGTTTTTTAAATGAAAGCTCTTGGGAATTGTTATCCCTGAAGGTTTGCGTGCTTATCTTTGCAAATGTTCACACCTATCCTGCACATCTTTGAAAGGTGCTTTCTCCTCTTGTTGATTTAAGCCTGCTTGTGCCCATTTTTCCAAAGTGCAAATATTTTCATGCAAGTATTTCCAATATACATATGCAGTGGGATATACTGTTTGGGAGGGACGGGAATCGGGTGGCAAGCAGGTTGTTCCTGATTCTGTGTTTAGTCCGGAAGGTGCAAACGGGTAAATTCCTGATCAAAAACAAACTAACGTGAATTTCTTATGCATCCAGATGCTGATTCTATTGTAAACACCACACCAGTATAAGCATCATTTTGTCACAGGAAGGACAATATATCTTTGCCCTAAAAATCCCATGTTACTGTTTTTGCCGCAAAGATACACTACCCTTTCCTATGAGAAGACAATGCTTATTGTCTGGCATTGTGTTTAGGGCATCAAGGCAGCAAAAGCAAGTTGCATTTTATTTCTGCACTCATGATGGTGCTTTAATCTAAGTGGACTTAAAATACGACGCTGCAAATGTCCCGGGTATTTCTATCTTTTTTTAGGAACATAAATCAGGGGTGGCCAATGGTTGCGTCTGCTTTGTTTTTTGTTCTAGCAAATTAGGAACTGAAAAACAGTTGCAACCCGTGGGCGAGCGGGGACTGGGGAGAAGAAACGCTGCCGTTGAAATAAACGCGGCCCGGCCGTATGAAGGAGGTCCCAGTAAGACCATTATACTGGGCCTTGAAATTACCTAAGACTCATCAGGGGACCCAGGCTGTCTTGAGAGACAGACCGGTGGACGGACGATGTGGGAGACACGCATCTCTCTTGCCCAGCTGCGGTGAGGATTAAATGGCAGAGGGGAAAAGGAATATGCAGACACAGGTGCTTTCAGGCAGGAAAAAGGGCACCTGCGGCTCAGACAGCTGGCCGTGTGAAAGCCGGTGGCCCCGACCTGCACACTAGCGTGGTAATTCCCCCCAAGCCGTCACTGGGGAATTGGGGGAGTTTGGCAAGGAAGCCCCCCAGGGGCTGCATAAGCAAGCCAATCATCACAGCCCCCCTGCATGGAATGTCCCACTGGGGAAGCTTTGCAAAGGTGGGGGGGAGTGCAGAAACACCTTGCCAAGAGCATGGCCTCTTCCCCTCACCCCTGTGCCGCTTTGCCCCTTTCTGTTTTACAGATCATTGGCATCCTGGGGTCGAGTGGGACTGGAAGGAAAGTAGCAGACGCCCTAATGAAGAGAAATGTGCTCGTTTCAGCGAGTGGCCGAGTGAAAAAGACACGCTGCTAAGGAGAAGAGGCGCCCTCTCCTGTGGCCGCTGCAAAGCACCCGGCTGGGTCTCGTCTTGGAAAGTGCTCCCTGACTAAAGCAGGACGATGTACACATTTCTGCCGGAGAACTTCACTCCCGTGAAGCAAAAGCCAGCCAAGGAGTTGAAGCCCATGATCGTGGCCATCGTGCTGGGGCTCGTCCTCTTCGTCGCCGCGGTGGTGGCCTGGTGCTACTACGTGGCTTCCCTCCGGAAGGCCGAGAGGCTGAAGACCGAAGAGATGGACCTCCGGCAGGACGGGTTCACCATCAAGAATCAAGATGGCGAGATAGTCTTCCGGGTGGCCTTCCAATCAGGCATCCTGGACTTGGAGTCCTGCTCTAGGGAAGGGGCCAATTTGACGTGCACCAGGACAGACAAAGGAAGGCTCAATTTCTTCATAAAGATCGTCACTCCCAAGGACACGGTGATGTGCTACCGTGTGCGCTGGGAAGAGTTCGTCGCAGACACGGTGGTGGAGCACAAGATGTTCTGGGGGGACGCCCACTGGTACGGCGGCTGTGAGATGAGTGTGCAGCACTGGCCGATCCGGCTGCCGGGCTCCCAGGAGCCCATGCCGTTTGTGACCAGCGACGTGTACTCGTTCCGGAACAGCTTTGGGGGCATCCTGGAGAGGTACTGGCTCTCCTCCAAAGCAGCGGCCATCAAGATCAATGACTCTGTGCCCTTTCACCTGGGGTTCAACGCCACGGAAAGGTCCCTCGTCTTCCAAGCCAGGTACAAAGATTCTCCCTACAAGCCGCCGTTGGGGCAGCAGCCTTTCCCAGAACTGAGCTACCGTGTCTGCATAGGTTCCGATGTCACCTCCATCCACAAATACATGGTGCGGAAATACTTCTACAAGCCTTCTAAGATACCCTCAAAAAATGCTTTCAAGTACCCGATATGGTCCACCTGGGCCTTGTACAAGAATGACATCGATCAGGATAAACTGCTGCGGTTTGCAGAAAAGATTAAAAAATACAAGTTCAACTGCAGCCACATCGAAATAGATGACACCTACACGCAGGCATACGGCGACTTTGACTTTGACCCCATAAAATTCCCAAATGTGACGGAAACATTCAAGAAGCTAAAAGAGGACGGGTTTGAAATTACACTGTGGACACACCCATTCATTAATTACAACTCCTCCAACTTTGGGGTCGGGATAGAGAGGCAGCTTTTCATTAAGGAGCCGACAGGCAGGCTTCCCGCCATGGTTGCCTGGTGGAACGGCATTGGCGCCATTTTGGATTTCACCAACCCTTCAGCCAGGGATTGGTTCCAAAGCCACCTGAGGCAGCTCCGCACTAAGTACGGCATATCCTCCTTCAAGTTTGATGCGGGGGAAACCAGCTACCTTCCGAAACAATTTAGCACATTCCGCCCCTTGTCAGATCCCAGCATTTGGTCCAGGCGCTACACAGAAATGGCCATCCCTTTTTATGAGCTGGCCGAGGTCAGGGTTGGCTACCAGTCTCAAAACATCTCTTGCTTCTTCCGGATCATTGACCGGGATTCAGTGTGGGGGTATGAGCTCGGGCTCAAGTCCTTGATACCTACAGTCTTGACTATTAGCATGCTGGGGTATCCTTTCATATCCGCAGACATGATTGGCGGAAACTTCTTTCCCAACAAAACCGATGGTGCGGTGGAAATCCCAGACCGAGAGCTCTATATCCGCTGGCTGGAGCTGTCGGCCTTCATGCCGTCGATGCAGTTCTCCATCCCGCCTTGGCTGTACGACAGAGAGGTCGTCGACATCGCCCTGAAGTTCACGAGGCTCCACGAGGCCCTCGTGGCTCCCCTCCTGCTGGAGCTGGCCGGGGAGATCACCGACACGGGGGACCCCATCATCCGGCCCATCTGGTGGATTTCGCCCGACGACGAGTCTGCGCACAAAATCGACTCGCAGTTTCTCATTGGAGACACCCTGATGGTGGCTCCCGTCTTGGAAATGGGCAAACAAGAGCGAGACATCTACATCCCCGCCGGGAAGTGGCGCAGTTACAAGGGGGAGTTGTTTGAAAAAACACCCACCCTGGTGACAGACTACCCCGTCGATTTGGACGAAGTGGCCTATTTCCTGTGGGTGTCCTAACCAACTTCTGCAGCCAGCAGTGTTTAGCTTCATGGAGTAACCACCGCTTTATTCTGTGATTGTAACAAGAAATAATTCTAACTGGTGAAGGGGATGGAAGAGGGAAGAGAACCTGATCGCACCTTAGTCCTTCAAATACGTCCCAGAGACCTCACTGTGTGTGATCTAAAGATGTTGGTGGAAAGCTAAGGAGGTCACAGGACTTGCACACTGAAGTATGAGCCTCCATCTGAAGATCCCAAAGTCAAGTATTCCTCGCTCTGTCGCCCGCCCATGAATGTATTTCTTCCATTTTCTGAAGCGTGGCTTTGGGGCTCTTCTGAGTCACCTCTGATGATTACAAATCCATCCACCAGGACTTAGTGCCAGCTGCTAGCGAGAGAATTCAGGCGGGATCTTTCCACAGTCTTCAGGGAGCTGGTGCCCCACCGTTTTCTCGAGTGTGAGCCAAGGGAAGCTTTGCAATATGGGCAAACGGCCCTTCGAGCGCGGGGATGGGTTTTCTCCAGCCAGGGTTGCTACAGCACAAACAGCCTTAAGTTTTACAATGCAGTAAGCTATTATTTGAAATAACATTTTTTCTAAAGAGGATATCTTCCATGATTATAAACAGATATATTTATATATGCATATATACATATATATATATACATACATATATATATATATCTCACCTTGTCTGATATTGGATGAGGCTGGTATATGTCAAATAAACCATGCTGCACTCATGTACGCTGGGTCGGGCAGGCCACTCAGTCCAGCGGCTTCTGAACAGGGTGGCCAGCGTGGCTCATGGCCTTCCTTCGCTGCTAGCCACCTTCCTGCCGGGCAGTTTTTGGCTAGAAGAAGGACCTCCAATACAGTTGCCCTCACAGCAACAGGCACGCTTCAGAGGGTAAAGTTGTTGCTTCCCTGGATGCATCGCCTGCCGCTGTTTCTCCGCTGGGATTAGTTTCAAAGAGGGCTTTGCAGCTTCGTCGCCATCTGAGGATTTCCTTTCAGCTCATCAACAGTTCCCGGGAAGTGTCAGGTTTGTCCAGAAAGACTGCAGGCTCTCGCCCATGGTTCCCATGATCCTGTGTGTTTCAGGAGGCAGCTAGGAGGAGGCGCGGGAGGTCGGAGTGTTGCTGTCGGCTAACTAATAAGACATGGAATAAAAACGGTTCTTCCTGCACCAGGGTGCAGTGCCAACCTGAGTAGGTTTGTGATCTCTTTTTGCAGAAGGGGAAACACAGAGGTAGTCCAGGCTGGTGCGTGACTGGTGCGTTCACTGAGTTCTGGCAATTGACTGAAGTTGATTGCAGCCAGTTTTTCCTTTTTCCGGGGAGCTGGGTGGGACCTGGATGCCCAAACATGCCTACCTGTGACTTCACGGCTCCCCTTTGCCATGCATGGAAAAACTAGCTAAAAAGACCCCGAGCCCTGGAGCTGTGGGCACCCTGAGGACCGGCTGCCCCCATTTTTACATCGGTGCATATTTAGGGTTTAATATAAAAAGACCCTGGCACAAATGCTGTTCCCATTCCTGAGAAAAGGAAGCACGCTCTGAATTAGAGGGAGGCATGGAGAGTGAGGCAAAAGGGGAACAGAAACAGGGAAGCGGAGTGGGGTTTAGTGAAAAGTCACATTGCTCTGGCCTTTGAACTGAATTAGACAAATGCATGGAGCAGGGATCGTACGCAGACGATGGTTCACGAAGGCTGGAAACCTGAATCGGGACCACTTTGTGAATTCAAGCAGCTGCCAAAGAAAGCAAGGGCAGGGGGCAGGGTGCTGCTTTCTCACCTGCTTTTGGCTTCCCAGAGACGCTCGGCTGCCCAGTCAGAAGCAGGGCGCAGGGCGGAAGGGCCAGCTTGGCCTAATGCGGTGGAGTTTCTGGGCTGCTCTTCTGTAACGGCAGACAGAAGCCCAAACAGACGTGTCTTTAAAACTAGACCTAACAGTGACGGCTGCTTTCCACTGTCATTTTTCTCTGGAACAGATTGTTGTTGTTGTTGTTAGTCGCGAAGTTGAGTCCGACCCTTCGCAACCCCATGGACAACACTCCTCCAGCCCTTCCTGTCCTCCACCGTCCCCGGAGTCCCCCCAAGCTCACACCCACCGCCCCAGTGACTCCATCCAGCCACCTCATCCTCTGCCTTCCCCTCCTTCTTTTGCCATCTACTGTTCCCAGCATGAGGCTCTTCTCCAGGGAGTCCTTCCTTCTCATTAGGTGGCCAAAGTATTTGAGCTTCATCTTCAGGATCTGTCCTTCTGAAGAGCAGCCAGGGTTGATCTCCTCTAGGACTGACTGGTTTGATCGCCTTGCGGTCCAAGGGACTCGCAGGAGTCTCCTCCAGCACCACAATTCAGAGGCCTCAGTTCTTCGGTGCTCAGCCTTCCTTATGGTCCAGCTTTCACAGCCATACATTGCAACTGGGAAAACCATTGCCTTGACTACGTGCACTTTTGTCCACAGGGTGATGTCTCTGCTTTTTAGTATGCTGTCTAGATTTGCCATAGCTTTCCTCCCCAGGAGCAAGCGTCTTTTAAGTTCTTGGCTGCAGTCCCCATCTGCGGTGATCTTGGAGCCCAGGAAAATAAAATCTGTCACTACCTCCATTTCTTCCCCATCTATTTGCCAGGAAGAGAGAGGACCAGATGCCATGATCTTAGTTTTCTTAATGTTGAGTTTCAAGTCAGCTTTTGCACTCTCTTCCTTCACCCGCATCAAGAGGCTCTTTAGTTCCTCTTCACTTTCTGCCATGAGAGTGGTATCATCTGCATATCTGAGGTTGTTGATATTTCTCCCAGCAATCTTAATCCAACTAGTGATTCATCTAGCCCCGCCTTTCTCATGATGTGCTCTGCATATAAGTTAAATAGGCAGGACGACAGTATACAGCCTTGCCAAACTCTTTCTCAACTTTGAACCAATCAGTGGTTCTGTGTCCAGTTCTCACTGTTGCTTCTTGACCCACATATAGGTTTCTCAAGAGACAAATAAGATGGTCTGGTACTCCCATCTCTTTAAGAACTTGCCGCAGTTTGTTGTGATCCACACAATCAAAGGCTTTAGCATAGGCAATGAAGCAGAAGTAGATATTTTTCTGGAACTCCCTAGCTTTCTCCATGATCCAGCGTATGTTGGCAATTTGATCTCCAGTACCTCTCCCTCTTCGAAATCCTGCCTGTACTTCTGGTAGTTCTCGGTCCACATACTGCTGGAGCCTAGCTTGTAGGATTTTGAGCATCACTTTGCTAGCATGTGAAATGAGTGCAATGGTGCGGTAGTTCGAACATTCTTTGGGATCTGATTTCTGTGTTGACTGTCTGGTGATGTCCATGTGTAGAGTCATCTCTTGGGTTGTTGGAAAAGAGTGTTTGCTATGACCATCGTATTCTCCTGACAAAATTCTACCAGCCTGTGCCCTGCTTCATTTTGTACTCCAAGGCCAAACTTGCCTGTTATTCCAGTTATCTTTTGGCTTCCTACTTTAGCATTCCAATTCCCCATGATGAGGAGGACATCATTTTTTGGTGTTAATTCTAGAAGGTGTTGTAGGCCTTCATAGAACCGGTCAACTTCAGCCTCTTCAGCACCAGTGGTTGGGGCATAGACTTGGACTCCTGTGATGTTGAATGGTTTGCCTTGGATTCGAGCTGAGATCATTCTGTCATTTTGGAGGTTGTATCCCAGTACTGCTTTTCCTACTCTTTTATTGACTATAAAGGCTACTCCATTTCTTCTAAGGGATTCTTGCCCGCAGTAGTATACCTGATGGTCATCTGAATTAAATTCACCTGTTCCTGTCCATTTTAGTTCACTGATCCCTAAGATGTCGATGTTCAGTCTTGTCATCTCTTGTTTGACCACATCCAGCTTGCCTTGAGTCATGGATCTCACATTCCAGGTTCCTATAGAGTATAGATCTTTGCAGCGTCGGACTCTCCTTTCACCACCAGACGCATCCACAACTGCGTGTCCTTTCGGCTTTGACCCAGTCGCTTCATTCTTTCTGGCACTACTAGTACTAGCCCTCTGCTCTTCCCCAGTAGCACATTGGACACCTTCCGACCTGAGGGGCTCATCTCCCGGCGTCATATCTTTCTGCCTTTTGGTACTGTCCATGGGGTTTTCATGGCAAGGATACTGGAGTGGGTTGCCATTTCCTTCTCCAGGGGAACACGTTTTGTCAGAGCTCTCTGCTATGACCTGTCCGTCTTGGGTGGCCCTGCACGGCATAGCTCATAGCTTCATTGAGCTGCGCAAGCCCCTTCGCCACGACAAGGCAGGGATCCATGAAGGAGCTGGAACAGGTACGGAACCCCAAATGGATCTGGACCCTTGAGTGGGCAGCAGGGAGGCTGATGGGGCCCTACAGTTTAAAAAAGCAGCTGTGTCAAAGGAATGCTTGCTTTGGCCCAGACATGCGGGTCACGGCGTTGTGGGGCCAGCGCACCGGGACTTCGCTGGGGCAGCTCCAGGACCAGGGAAAGAGGTGGCCCCAGGTTCAAGCGCAGGTGGGTCCAGGGGAGTTCTTACTCTCCGGCAGGAGCCAGCCTGTCTTGGCCAGTCACCGCCAGCCCATGGAAGAGGAACGGCCAGCGGAAGCCAAAGGTGGGTTGGCTGCGCTGTGGAAGCCCGTTCAAACGGCTCATCGCCCTGTGTGGTCTCCCGGGTCACCTGTCGGAAGGGAGGGGAGCCTGGTGGCCTGCACTGGGGTAAAGGAGCAGAAGCCCCCCCCCCCCCACCCACACACGTGCCCCTTCGCATGCGCCACTGCTTTTATTTTTTATTAATTTTTTTTGTTTTTTATTAAAACATTTCTATGCCGCCCCATTCGCCGAAGCCTCGGGGCGGCTTCAAGTTTTTCCCCCCTGGCCCGGCCCACCTCCCACCTGGGCTGCTGGAAAAGGATCCGAAGTGTCAGGGCAATGACGTTTGCAAGGGTCGGGACCCCCCCCCGAGACCCCCCAGCGTGTGAGACGTGGATCCCTCCAACGCTCGTGCTGGGTCCCGACGGAGCGCATGGGAAAAGCTGGACGAGGTGCATCCCACGGTCCCGTGTTGGGCTGGGCGGCAAAGTGGCTTGCGGGGATGCGTCCCCCGGAAGCTGTTGTTGGAATCCCCCCCCCCACCCCCAGCCAGGCCCTGCCGCAGGTGAGCCCTGGATGGGAGTTGAGGTCCCACCACATCTGGAGGCCGCATGTTCCCCACACTGGCCCCCAACAGCAGGCGGATACAGTCTGGGTTAGAGGAGCAGGGGCTCTGGCCCCCTTCCTGGATCAAAGCCTCACCCTCCAGGACTCGACTCGGAGGGCCGACCTTACACTCACCTGACGGAGGATTTCCGGCACGGCATCGATGTCCTACGTAGCAGCAAGTCAGCTCGCCTGCCACTTCAGGCCTATTCCAGGCCCCATCGCAGAACTGTTCCTGCCTCACTTCCTGGCAGGAAAATGCCGGGGTTGGGGCTGCTTTAGGGGGCTCTGAGAATCGCCCCCTAAAGGGAGCGCAGGATGCTAGCAAGCGGCCCGGGCAGAGCTGCTGGGCGCGTCCGCAGCTGCCTTTCTCCGCTCACACCGCGTCCACGCCGTCCACGCCGTGGCTGAAGGCCCCTTTGCAGTGATGGAGCCTCCTGGGCTCCCTGCGCCAGCCAGAGGGCTTCTTGCGCTTCCTCCCGGTGGTGGGGCTCGGCCCCCCACTCCCTGCCCTGGGGGAGTCCAGGTGGCTCCCTCTGCTCTGAGCTCATGGCAGGGATGCCTGGGCCCCCCTCGCCGTGCCGGCGGCTGGGAACTCGCATGGCACCCGGAGGCGGGGAGGGAGGGAGGGGGCCAGGCTGGGGTTCCCGGTTCCCCTGGCAGGCTCTTGCCCGTCTCAGCCTAGAGGCTGGAAGTGTAGGATCCCCACCAATTTTCCAGTGCAGGTTCTGGCCTGATTTGGGAAGTTTCTTTGGGGGGTCCCCAGCACCTTCACTTAAAATGCTCCTGGGGCGCAGTTCCAGAAAAGGTGGCATTCTGGGAAAGGTGGCCTCTTACCTGGGAGAGCAGCTGCCTTTTGGTGTCGGGGATGCTCGACCAGGCGGGCCACCGGCTTCTCCGTCTGAGCCTGTAGCTCATCCTTCGGGAGAGGGGCCCGCAGGGGGGTGGGGGAGTGCCGGCGGAGTGCCAGGGCTTCGGGAGCTTCTCACCTTTCCCTGTGCAGCCAGGAAATCGCCCAGGCGGTGCGAGCTGGGAGGGCACCTCTTTCTGCCTTGGAAGCGGCTGCCAGTCAGTGCAGGCGACACTAATGCAGGTGGAGAGGGCTCACCGCCGAGGCGCGCACTGCGGCCCCTTGCCTCCTCTCCCAGGCGCAGAACTCCTAACAATGCCAGGCAGCTGGATTTGGCTGCGCTCTCAGTTTCCCGCAGTGCTCCTGGCCTGGCAGCATTCTGGGTAAAAGGCACCTGGCTGTCCAGACGCGGGTGGGGGGGTGGGGGGGGCTGTGGTGCAGCGCTGCTCGTAGGAAAGCCCCCCGGGATCCACTGAGGGGGAGGCCAAAAAGGGGGGAGAGGGAGACAGACGAACTGCCAACGATAAAAAGACCTGGGGCTACCCCTGGCTGGGTGGAAGGGTATGGCGCACTGCCCACGCTGAAGAGCTTCACGGGACCTTGGAAGAGCAGAGGTGGGGGGGCTAAGACAGGCCTTTGAGTCCGACCCCCTCCCAGGGCAGGACTCCCAGGTAAGCCACCCCTCTCAGATGGCCACCCAGCTGCATCCTGAAGGCCTCCAGTGTGGGAGAGGGCGCAGCCTCCCTGGGTCCCGGGCTCCCTTGCCCTGCTGTTCTAACAATCAGGCCATTTTTCCTGATATCCAGCCAGGATCTGGCTTCCTGGAACTTGATCCCATGATTCTGTGTCCTGCACTCGAGGAGAGCTCCTGCCCTCCCCCTTTGGGGCAGCCTTTCAAGACCCTCCAGGGCGCTCTCCTCTCTCCCCTCAGCCTTCTCTCCTCCAGGCTGAACATGCCCGGTTCTGCCCATCTCTCACCGCGGGGCTTGGTCTCCCGTCCCTGAAACATCCTTGCTGCCCTTCTTGGAACGCTCTTCCCACTGGCCTGCGTCTTTCTTGAAATGTAGTGCCCGGAACTGGATGCAGTACTGCAAAGGAGACCTCACCAGTGCCGGGTAGAGGGAACCTGGTACTTTACACAGTTTGGAAGTGATGCTTCTGTTAATGCAGCCCAAAATGGCATTTGTCCTTTTTGCAGCCACATCACATTGTCGGCTCATGTCCATCTTGTGATCCGTAACAGTTCCAGGATCCTTCTCACTTGCAGTCCTGCTGAGCCAAGTGTTCCCCGTCTTGTAAGGATGCATTTGGTTCCCTTTTCCTGGGTGCAGAACTTGGCGTTTGTCCCTACTGAATTTCATTCTGTTGTTTCTGGCCCGGTACTCCAACCTCCCAAGATCACGTTTGTCTGTCTTCCAGGGTATAAGCTCTCCCACCCAGTTTTTGTGCTGTCTGCAGACATGACACTCATTCCCTGCACTTCTTCATCCAAACTGTCAACAGAAATGTTCAAGAGCACTGGGCCCAGCACAGATCCATGTGGCACCCCAGAACTTGTTACCGCTCCCCAGTCTGAGAAGGAGCCTCTGCTGAGCACTCTCTGAGTCCGGTTTTGCAGCCCATTGTGGATCCACCCAATAATTGTCCCATGGAGTTCACTTTTTTTTAGTTCGCTTATCAGGACGTCAAAGGGGGGCTTTGTCCAAAGCTTTGCTGAAGTCAAGCTAGATTATGTCTGCCGCATTCTCACAGTCCACCCACCCAGTCAAAAAAAATGTAACTAGATTAGTCTGGCTAGATTTATCCTTGATAAGTCCATGTTGGCTTTTAGCATTTCCAGTAAAAAATTTCAGGTATAGGAACAAATGAGCCCATCAGCTTCCCATTTGACCAACTTTGTTAAAAAAAAAAAAAAAAAAAACTTGAGTTTTTTCCAGTGCAAGCCTGAAGAAATGAATGCATTTTGGTCAATTCTTATCAAAAACAAACAAAAATGAAATGCTGAACTGGACTGGACAAATTTATTCAATCCTGTGGGTGACTCCAGCATCAAATGGGTGATGTTGATTGGACATCGCATGCTGCAGTACTAAGAGGTCAGATTTCTCAGACACTGTCCTGTGCGTCTGTCTGCCCTTGGACAGACGTCGTGGAAGCAACCCAAAGGGAGGCTGCAAGGAGTAAATCCCAGCAGTGACGAAACGGAGGCAAAGTACCAAGCAGAAAAGTTTAATTCGTTCTTGCAAGAGCGGGCGCCCACCACACAGGCAGCGCGCCATTCACACACAAAACATGTCGTCTTATCCCCTTTTCCCGGCTCGCAGACCCTTCCTCTTTTCTCCCATTGGCTGGGCTGCTCAGAGGGTACATTCTTCTCCGTCCGCCTCCATCATACGACCCCTTGATGTGCTCCCCCTCCTGCTCATACATCCCATGTTCATGCTAATGAGCCCATTACCTATGAGAGGGGTGTCCGTTACTGTTCATGCACCTATTAAGCATGCGCACTATTTTCTAAAAGTTCAACAGGCCAGAGTGGCCTTGCAAATTCCTACTTGACCCAACTTGCTTCTTAAATCTTGTGGAAGGATAAGATAGGAAGAACAGGCCTTCCTCCAGGCTCATTATGGCCAGTTAAAAAAGGGTATTCAATTTCCTGCTCTCTTCCACGGAAGGTGACAGTTTTACCGCTGTCCCCGAATTTTACCCCCTCTGGCATTTTTCAGGACTTTGATGTAAGAAGCACTATTTCCCTTAGTACAACTATTTACATGATCCGATTCTCAGGCCTTTTGGCCTTAAGGGACTTCATTGATCCTGTATTTCACCCTTTCTTTGGTTTTCACCTTAACACTTAGTCACAGTAACATTCCATTTCTCACAAGGCAGACTGGACTTAATCCAAGGTGGGGTTGCCAGGATGTAGTGTGAACCACAGTGCTCTCTGATTTAATATATATTTAAGTGGAAAATTGTCAAAATTCAACACAGCCACATTTGACTTCAAAAGAGGAAACTTTTGTAAAATGAGAGAAGTGGTAAAGAGAAAGTTGAAAGCGGAAGCGAAAGGGCCCACATCCCTTTAAAACTGCTCTGGGGTTTCTCAAAACCACAGTAGTAGAAAGTAGATTAGATAGCATATATACCATAGCTACCAAAGGGAGCAGTGAATCCAAGGGGTTAATGAGCAGAGTCAAAGAGGCAATTAGCAATGAGGTGCCCTTCAGAATGGGCACAGGTGCCCTCAGGAAGGAAAACAAAATTGAGCACCAGGTTGCACAAAGGAGAAGTGAAAAAAGGGGGTGATTTTAAAGTTGCATATCACTGACACGTTGCAGAAAAAACAATCCCCCAGATCAACGAGAAACGGATGTGAGCTGAGCTAGCAGTGAATGCCAGGAGAGACACTCCTGGGTTCTACTAGACAGGCGTGATGAACATGTGCCCCCACTGTGAAGAAGGCAAATTCTGAATCAGGAGCAGCTGGGGCAGGAACTGAAAATAAAACTGGCAAGAGCGTACAGCCCTTATCCAAATCTCTATCACAGCTAAGAATACTGTTTGAGGCTCTGGTCACCACACCCAAAAATGGATTTGCAAAGCTGCAAAAAGGACAGAAAAGAGCACCTGGAAGCGTCTGAGCACCAGAGCAAAGAGGGCAACTCCTGAGATTGCTTAACTTGGAAAAACGCTGAGCCGGGGAGACATGGAAGAGGTGTGAAATACTACGCCTGCTGTGGAAAAGCTGCACAGGGAGACTTTTCCCTCCCACTCCCACAATATTGGAACCCCAAAGAGTCATTCAAGGGAGCGGACGTGTGGAAGAGTCAGGCCCGGACCTCTTCGCACAGTGCAAGCTGGCTGTCATCACGTTTTGGGATTCCTGGGTGAGGTCTGTCCGTGTGGGAAGCGTGAGACTGACACTTGGCCTTCTGGCCATTCCCGCCTTGGTTTAGGGAGATAACGAGGGCTGCGCCAGTCCTTCAGAGCTGTGCGCTTCAGCTGCATTTGCGATCAGAGGCCCTGCTGGGGCCTGTGTGTGTACACAGCCCTCGCCGGACACCCGCGGAGGGAAGAAGCAGCAAGCACGGGTGCAGGGACCAGCGCGGATCTTTGCCACCAGGGAGCCGCAGAAAGACGTTTCCTGAGGCTGCACGACCACAAACGCCATGGCTGCGCGCGGGCTTCGTTTTCATTCCTTGGGCTCCTGTAATTAATGAGGGATGAATTGCAAGGCCTGTGCACATGCAGCAATGCCAAGGAATAGGCAGGTGTCATGGAGTCATAGCATAGTAGAGCTGGAAGGGGCCATGAAGGCCATCAGGTCCACCCCCCTGCTGTTGCAGGACACCACCCACACCATTCCACTCGGGTGGCTGCCCAGCTTCTCCTTGAATGCCTCCGGTGTGGGGGAGCCCCCACCTCTCCAGGCAGCTGGTCCCACTGCCGTATTACTTGACAGTGAGGAAGCTCTTCCTGAAGTCCAGCCTGAACCTGGGTTGTCGCAGCTTGACTTGATTCTTCCGTGTCCTGCACTCTGGCATCAGCAAGAGGAGATCTTGACCTTCCTCTTTGGGGCAGCCTTGGAGGCACTTATAGAGAGACATCGTGTCCCCGTGCCTTTTCTCCTCACAGGGCAGGGTTTCCAAACCCCGGGTCATTTTTGTCGCCCTCTGCTGGACCCTTTCTACTATTCCTGCATCTTTCTTAAATCTTGGTGCCCAGAACTGGACGCAGGATCCCAGATGGGGTCTGACTGGAGCACTTGGGCACTTGTTAGCACGTGAAACTCATTCTGTTGCTTTCAGCCCAGTGTTCGAGTTCATCAGGAACACCTGGATCTTCATTCTGTCTTCCAGGGTGTTTGCTATTCCAGGTAATAAGTAAACCTTAACGAGACAGGATGAGACACCTGCTCCTGAGCAGCATCCCAAGCTGGTATTTAGGTATGTCTCTTTCAGACATCTGATTCTGTGGGAAGGGGCAGATATATAAACCAGAAGTAGGGATTGCGCGCTGGGCACAGGAGTAGGAGAGGGTTGTTTAATGGTTTTAATCATTTAACTGTT